AGAGAGAGAGAGAGAGAGAGAGAGAGAGAGAGAGAGAGAGAGAGAGAGAGAGAGAGAGAGAGAGAGAGAGAGAGAGAGAGGTCTTGCGTGTGTGTATGTGTGCAACGTCGTTGTACATCCCTCCTGCTCCTGACAAGACCACTCTCTTCATCTTGTTTGCAGAGACATGGCGGCCGTCATTTCATCAAAGCAGCCAATATTCCTGGTACAGAACCAACAAGGTTCACGCGAACTGCAATTCTCCTCCTCCTCCGTCTCCTTCTCCTCCTCCTCCTCGTCATCTCTGCTGCCTTCGTCATTGTTGATCGCTGTTGAGGTGCAATCTTTGCCAGGAACGTCTGGACGTGCCTTGTCCATCTTTGCACCAGGATCGTCTGGACGCGCCTTGTCCGTCTCCTCCTCCTCCTCCTCCTCCTCCTCTTCCTCCATGTCCACTTCCATCTCCTCCTTCAATGGCTATGGTGGTCCATGTGCAGTCAGCGGTTCCTGTCTCTCTGGCGGTCCTTTCTACTCCTCGCAACGTGTCACTCTTAGACTTGCTCATCGGACGAATGCCGTGGCCAGGCCTGGTCCTTTCCACCCTCTTCATCCATCCAGATGCCACGGTACCTCCTCCGTAAGGTCATCGCGTCATAAACGTGCTTCTAGCCGAGGAGACAAGCTCGCACGCATTGGCTATGGCGGTTGCCGGCTTCCTTCTTCCTCCTCCGGTGATGCGGGTGCACGATTACGCTTCTCTCTCGTAACTCGAGCGTCGAGTGAAGATGAGGCTTCCCAGCAGCAGCAATTTAAAGGGTTCGGGAGTCCTCCGAAGCCGAAAAGCCCTACCTCTTCTCGAACGGGAGGTGCAAGTGGTGGGGACGACTCGCGAAAGAAAAGCCGCGGCAGCGACGGCGATTCCGGCGACGACAATTTTAGCATGTTTGGCTCGGAGGGTGACGACGACAGCATTCCGGAAGTAGTCAGCAATCGTATGATGTCGCGACTGGCAGTGACGGTTGGGGTCCCGATGATGATAGGATTCGCATTCTTCCCTTTCTTTTACTATCTTAAAACTGTACAGAAGATCGACATTCCTTCGTGGCTTCCTTTTGTGACCTCGGGTTTCATTTTTAGCACGGCCGGATTAGGAATAACCTATGGGATCTTGTCGACGAGTTGGGATCCCTACCAAGAAGGCAGCCGGCTAGGGTGGAAAGAAGTGCAAGAGAATTGGCCGTCTTTCCTGAAGTCTCTTCGAGGGGATGACAGGAGATGAAGAAAGCTGCTTTTCTTCTTCTTTTCCATTTTTTCAAAAAGCTGTAGGTCTTTTTTTGGGAAAAAGATACGTCCGACTTTTATTATTTATTAAAAAAAAACAAAGCGAGTGAGCGCGCGCGCGCGCGCGCGAGAGAGAGAGAGAGAGAGAGAGAGAGAGAGAGAGAGAGAGAGAGAGAGAGAGAGAGAGAGAGAGAACGCCTGTGTAAGTTTTTCTTCCCCCCTCCCCACCCCCCCCCAAAAAAAAAAGATAAGGTTTTTCTTTTTGCTCGAGGGTGTGGATGTTCATCTTGTTCCGCTGAATGGAAGGGAGACACTCCCCCCCAAAAAAAGAAAAAGAAAAACGACAGGAATAAACATGTGCAATTAAATCAAAAAAAAAAAAAGATAGAGATAGAAGAACCAAAGAACCAGCTATGTGACTTTACTTTTCACGAATTACATTTTGTAAAAAGAAAAAAAGTTTCCACAATAGGAAAGGAACTATCAGGGGGGTGAAAAAGAGTTTTGCACACAATCGCCTGGGAGATTGACTGCAGATAACCAAGATCAATCGGCTGTACCTCTGTTTTTTTTTTTTTTTTTTTTTTTTTTTTTTTTTTTTTTTTTTTTTTTTTTTTTAACCACCAGTACACGGCCTCAAAACACAAAAAAATGCCAAAAGCAGCCTTGCAGCAAAATAACTTGTTGCCACAAGAAGTAAAAGGCGGGCTCGAGGCAGACTCGGAGCGTCAGAAGGTTTTTGAATTTTTGGGCCCATCTCAAATCCGTACGTCCCCCCCAAAAAGAAAAAAGCCTTTGGCGGTGATTGCAGTTGGATACGCTGTTTGGAGTACTCGTGCGAGTTTGCCCTCAGTAGGGCACTTCAGCAGAATGCAGAACACGGGGAGCAGGACTGTCGGCCTCTCAAAAAAAGAACAGAACAAAACAAAACAAAAAACTTTGGCCGTGATTGCAGTTGGATACACTTTTTGGAGTATTCGTGCGAGTTTGCCCTCAGTGAGGGGCACTTCAGCAGAACGCAGAACACGGGGAGCAGGACTGTCGGACTCTCAAAAAAAGAACAGAACAAGGGCCTCGCTGCACTACTCTTGACTCGTGATAAAAAATCACGAAACGGCCTAGAGTTCGGTCGTCGCTGCACTTACTGTAGATCGTCCTGCTCATGAGTCAATCTTGAGAGGCAGACACAGATTTCATGAGCAGTGCAGCGAAGGCGGAACTCTAGCCAGTGTCGTCCTCCCCCCCTCCCCTTGAAACGAAAACAAGGAATTGTACATGCCCGTGGCGCCGTCCCACCACGTACTGTGAACAGAAGCCCTTCAGGAGTGCTGTAGAAGCACTAAACGACGGCCACAGCGTGTGTTGTCCGTCCAGACCCGGCTCACTCTTGGAATCCGGCGGCCTTTCAAGAAACCGTCCGACCTCCCTTGCAAGGCGAACAAGAGCACTCTAGTCGACATCGCCTGACGACTCCCTGACAGCTCGTGAAATGCGTTTTCAAGAGTGACGCCGCAAGAGTAGTGCAGCGAAGACGACTCTTGTCGTTTGCAAGAGTTGCATCTGACAGCTCTTGACGCATGAAACTGTGGCATTGTTCACCAGTAAGTGCAGCGGTGCGGCGCTCATGAAAGTGCTGATTTCAAGAGTAGTGCAGCGAGGCCCCAAAACAAAAAAAAAGGCAACGCAACGCTTTGGCCGTGAAAGCGGTTGGATGCATTTCAACGTTGCTAGTGTGAGTATGCCCTCAGCGAGGGCCTTTTGAGCAAGAGGAATATGCGCTGCCTTGCTGGCAGGGGCAGGAACAAAAAAAAAAAAAAAAGAACAGAAAAAAAGGAAAAACAGCAATAATACCTTTCTCGGCACTTTGGCTAAGATCAAGTGCAGTATCTGTTCTGATCAAGTGTAGTATCTGATCCGTGGTCCATGGGACCACACACACACACACAAAAAACAAACAAACAAACAAACAAACAAACAAACAAACAAACAAACAAACCAGCAACGTTTCCCTCTCCCTGTAATAGTGGTCCGATGCACTCAGGAAAGTGATCATTTGCGTATGGCCTCCATTACGTCCTTTCACGACATCATTGCTCTCTGGCATGTTTGTTCATTTCTTTTCTTTTCGTTTTTTTTTTTTTTTTCGGTTCAGGCAGACCGGCGGCACCAGTGCGACTTCCCAAATTCTTCCGAAATTCCCACTGCAGGTACGCTCACGCAGAAGGCCTGGAAAATAGTGGCGCGCAGTGGGGGCAGGTAGGTTCAGGATTTTAGGGGCGGGTGTACTGGTGGTTTAAAGCACTACCGTCTTCCCCCGAACACAACGGAACCGACATTTTTTCTGTATCGGGCCGGAAAGATACCTTGTATACGTTCATTTACAGGGTGCGTTATGTTCGGGGGAAGAAGGTAGGACTTCTTACCTGGCTGTGTGGCTTGGAGAAAGAATTTTGCTAGAAACCAGGGGGCAAGACCTGCGACCAGTGTTGAGTTTCCTGAACGCCTGAATCTGGACGTGATTGTGGAGATGTGCAGAAACAGCGTTGAGTTTCGTCAACGCCTGAATCTGGGCGTGTTTGTCGTGTTTGTCGAGTTGTGCGGTTGAGGAAACTCAACACAATATCTGCACATCTCCTCAAACATGTCCAGATTCAGGCGTTGAGGAAAGTGAATGCTGCTAGTGGGACTTGGCCCCAGGTTCAGTGTCTCATATGAAATCTCATTCAGCCGTAAAATCTCCATTAGGAAAAAAAAAAAAGGGGCTCACAGGCAATATTTCCCTTTTAAGAAAAAGGATGTAGGATTGTCCTCTGGGCACTACCTCGTTGCACCGATGCGGGAAAAAAAAAGGAAAAAAAGGGGAAAAAAGAAAAAAAGGAAAAAAATCAGAAAGAAAAATAAGAAAAATAAGAAAAATAAGAAAAGAAAAAAAGAAAAAAACCGAAAAAAACTTTAAAAAGGGAAAAAAAAACACACTACATGGGCAACATGCAATCCCTTTGTTGTGAGGTAGGTATGCTTGCAGGGGTCCCCTCAATATATTGCCTTAGGAGTAGTGAAAGGCAGAAAGAATTTCAGAGAGGAATGTAGTGTAGTTAAAACGATTCAAACAATTAAAAAAAACAAGAAGATGTAAAAAATTATTTAAAAATATCCATTTATCCATTTGTCATAAGAAAAAAAAGAAAAAAAAAGGACGACTATCAATGTGTCATCACTGACTCATCAGTATATTGTCAGGGGATGAGCTGTGCCTTATCCATAATTCACTGTCCGTCCATGGGCTTGGCTTTTTTCTGCATAACATTCGAAATGTACCTGGGCTGTTCCAGAGTCATTTGAACTGACAGAACATTTTGAATGTTTTTGGACCAAATTGAGAGCCAGATACATTTGGAATGGCCGTTCCAGATTCATTCGAACTGACGGAACATTTTGAATGTTTCGGGACCAAAGTGAGAGCCAGATACATTTGGAATGTTCCATCATGATGACGGCGTATCAGAAAGAGTCTCAGTTGGGCATCAGCAATATTGTGACTTTGAATTTGAATTTTGATTTTTTTAATTATTTAATCAGTAATATTGTCGAAGGCATGAGCTGTACCTTCATCATCTACGTTCGCTGTCTGTACATGGTGCTCGCTCCACTGCATGACATTTGGAATGTATGTGGGCTGTTTGTGATCCAGATACATTCGGACTGACCAAACGTTTTGAATGTATGGGGACCGAGTCCTGAGACAGATACATTTGGAATGTTCTGTAGTGTAGCCAGACACTGTTGCTCACTCACTGTTTGTCCATTCCCTTTCTATTCCCTAACAGTTACTTGCCACTCTCCTCCTCCTCCTCCTCCTCCTCATCATCATCATTTAAAAAAAATAAAATAAAAAAATCATCATCATCATCATGATGCATACGGTCATCGTCAACTTACTCACATTCATTGTACATACATCGAAATACGTTCATTGAATATGCATTGAACATTCATTGAGCATTCTGTTCATGGTCATTGTCAGTTGCTAGTTCACCGTCCCAGCATCGTTCGTTCATGGAAAGTTCGGTGATCATTCGTTGTTGGTTCAGGTAAGAGTTGGCTCTCCGCTGAGTCTCCGCGACTCTCCAGTCATTGTCAGTTTGCTTTCTGATCATTTTCAGCGGTCGGACCCAACTGCACAGCGGTTGCGTGGCTGCAGGAAAGCGTTCTTTGATTGAGACGTCCGTTATAAACTGGAATGATACAAAAAATAATTAAGAAAAATTAAAAA